ACTTAGCATAGGCTAATTGTTGTTTTATTTGCCGTAAGATCTCTCAGAGCTAGGCCTAGTTTGCATTGCAAACCCAACGTCGTTTTGAATCCACATCAAATTTTCATGGGCTGGATGAGCACAAGTCAAAAGAATTCGTGTGCTCACTTCGTGGATGATCACTTCATGTGGATTCAAAACGACGTTGGGTTTGCAATGCAAACTAGGCCTAGCTCTGAGAGATCTTACGGCAAATAAAACAACAATTAGCCTATGCTAAGTACCGGGTTTCGGGATCCTCGCATTGTTTACTAGTATCCCAAGAGTCTTCTACAGTCTATAAGGCTGCCCTAATGAATGATGGGGATGAGGTGGTCTTCGTACGTACGGTATCATAAATCCTTATTCTTCAATCATAAATAAATAGTTCATGTGTATTAAAAATGGATAGGAAGAGTGTTCGCGCGTTTTATACATGTGACAGTATGTGTGCGCGTAACAAACAAAAGTTATAATTTTGTAATAAAGCGCTAGCTAGAAAAACATATTTTTTATTCAGTCATTCATAGCGCAAGGACAAAGACATGGATATGCCTAGGTAGATACAGGCCTTTGTAGAAACTTGAACCATGAAGGCGAAATTTTCGATCTCCCTGGCCTTCAGCATCTTTTACCGAAACCGCCGCAAAATCAAGATTGCTTTATCATCAACCAAAAAATGGGATGTGATTTTTTTTTTTGCTTGCTGCATAGGACTAGGCCTAGCCAGAAGACAGTAAAAAGGGCAATTAAAACCAAAAAACAAACAACCTACGCTAAATACGGTACTATATATATAGGCCTAGGCCTAGTAGGTCAACGCCTACGGACTTTTGCAAGATTTGTTTAAAAGATGTTCAGCCGTAAACAATGAGAGGTACCTGTAAGTGATATTACTTATTGAATTACAGTCATAGGCCCACCAGGTTAGACCTAGCCTAGGCCCTACTACTAATCAAAACAGGGGGGAAATGGCGGCACGTGTAAATTAACAACTGCAACTGGGAATTTGAATTAGGTCTTGGCCTATATATAGGCTAGGGGGCCAGGGAAGTTAAGACCACCTCATCACCATCATTGATTAGGGCAGCCTTATAGACTGTAGAAGACTCTTGGGATACTAGTAAACAAGTAATGCGAGGATCCCGAAACCCGGTACTTAGCATAGGCTACATGTTGTTTTATTTGCCGTAAGATCTCTCAGAGCTAGGCATAGTTTGCATTGCAAACCCAACGTCGTTTTGAATCCACATGAAGTGATCATCCACGAAGTGAGCACACGAATTCTTTTGACTTGTGCTCATCCAGCCCATGAAAATTTGAATTGTAAAATTGACAAAGTTAACTCAACAACGTCTTTTTACTATCTTTAGGTAACGTAAAACATTTACTTCGTGTGCAC